GGACTAGATGATCTTTTGAGGTCCCTTTGAAGCCTGAACATTCTGTGATTCACATCTGGATACCATTCCTATCACGGGTGGAAATGGTGATATGGGGAGAGTATTCCCAAACAAACACAGAAGGCAAGGTGAACTTTTTCTGAGGGAGTAAATGCATTCCAGAAGTAAACTGGAAGGCTTTGAGAAAGAATGTTTTTATAAATGGAGTTTCTTAAAGAGGAACATAAAAACTGCAAAACCAAGGAGAGATAAACATTTTCCATGTATATGTACCTTGTATTTTACAATTTTAATAGTACATTTTGGATATTCTATGTGATTTTAGTATTTCTAGAAACAATGTGTATTAAGCAGATTGTGCACCAGTGAAGCAAGTGGATATATGCTACTGCTGGTAAACATTTTATTTTCTTCTTTCTTTTTAGATCACCTTTTGCTGCTGTCACAGATTACTCAGTAACAAGAAATAATGTCATTCAGCTCTGTCTGGAACTAACAACCATAGTACAACAGGTACGAGACCATCTGCTTAGCGATTTTTTTTCCTAAATTGTAAATGGCCATTACCTTCTTCACAAATTTTTGTGTTACTCTGTCTATACTATTGTCTAAGAAAAATAAGGGAATACTAGTACTTAGTAAATGCTTTACAAAAATTCTGCTTCCTGTTTTCATAATTCTAGTTTGTGTTGTGTATATGCCTCTGCATGTGTCAGTAGTAAGTTCATCCTGGGTTCCCTAGTCTAATATCATCACTATGAGTTTGTGGAATCTACTTAATAAGTTACATATTTATTTTCTCATATTTTTTCTTTATTTTTTAATTTACTCTCTCATGCAAAAGATCTGTACATGTTGGACTTTAGTGATCTTCTCTTTCATATTGTTCACATCATCTAGACACCTGTTAGGAGGGCACATTTCCCCGTGAGCCTAGAATTTTTTCAGTACGTTTTTACATCCTAACTTTGAGAAATCCAGAAACAGGTACTGAGAGGCAGTTGCTTAACAGGCTTCATATGGGAATGCAATCTAGAGAACCTTTGCCATACTTCTGTTCCTTCTCTGTGTGTGACTTAGGTCTTCCCCTATCTTCTGTCTGTTTTTCTGCTGAATCTGAAAAGTCTGTTTTGCAGCAAGTTATAGAATCATAGAATGGTTAAGGTGGAAGGAACTTTGAAGATCATCTAGTTCCAACCACTCTGATGTAGGCAGGGATGCCTGTCTCCTCCAGCCCAGATTGCTCAAAGTCCCATCCAACCTGGCCTTGAACACTTCCAGGGATGGGGCATCCACAACCTCCTTGTGCAACCTGTTCCAGTGCTTCACCACCCTCATGGTGAAGAATTTCTTCCTCATATCTAATCTAAGTCTACCGTCTTTCAGTTTCAGGCCATTGCCCCTTGTCCTATCACTACAATCCCTTGTAAAAAGCCCTTCTCCAGCTTTCCTGTCAGCCCCTTTCATGTATTGGAAGGGGGTTCTAACCAAGCTTGATACCAAATTCTGTAGAAATAACCTAGGAAGTTAAAGTAGTTCTGCTCAGTTGGGCATCATCATCTACCCTGATGCATGCATTTCTCAGACGGGTCTGCTACTGATGACTGCCCTTATTGTCTTGTGCCATCACTTGCCCATGTGGTGCCACAGTGCTCATCACAAGAAGGAAAAACGGTCCAGAGAGGATCACCAATCATGGTGGTTCAGCAACAGCAGAGGGAAGGGACTGGTGCTGTCAAGCAGGAATTCAAGGGAGTGTTTGCATTTGAGAAGGTGGAGTGGAGAAAAAGGGAGAGAGTGACCTAGATAGGAACACTGAGAAGTCTTTCTGTCATTCAGAAGCTTCACTCCAAATAGAGCAAACCCAAGCTTCTTCTATGGCCTGTTGGCATGAATTTTTGTGATGATACTTTTTTGTAAAAGAAATACCTTTTCTCTGACCCTTTCATAAATGTGTGCAATACTGATGATTGACTTGGTTTACCTTTCACCTAGGCTGGAGAACACCAGTATTGCTAGTCCCATGCGTTCAAGCTTGGCAAATGAAAATTTCTATTCTTCCTCTTCCTCTTCCTCTTCCTCTTCCTCTTCCTCTTCCTCTTCCTCTTCCTCTTCCTCTTCCTCTTCCTCTTCCTCTTCCTCTTCCTCTTCCTCTTTTTCTTTTTCTTTCTTATTCATTATTTTTGGTAAATTATATGTGGTGGTTTTGATATGGAGTATGGGTTGTTCCCTCCCCACAGGCCACCCAGCGAGGATGCCTGTTTGCTTTTCAGGCCTGAGGGCCAAGGGGTGCCCTGCGAATCCCATCCTTCAACCACCCCGTGCTCCCCACTGGGCTCCTTGCTGTCACCCTGCCTCAGACTGGGACAGAGGTGCCAGCAGTGGTGGCTGTGGAAGAAGAGCCCAGGCCTTTGATTTCTTGACTGCCTTTTGCATCTGTTTTTCTGTGGCTTGTTGTACCCTTGTTGAGCTGTGAGAAGGGATGAGTACTCTGTGAAAAGGAGGCATGGAGGGTATCCCTTCCCCTTGGCCGAAATGCTCGCTTTTCACAGAAGCAGTTGTGCATCACCATCTAGTTTCTCAATTGAGGGGACGAGCCACCTGACCCGTTTTCATGTATCGACTCTTAGCGAGAAAGTTAGCAGTGTTCCCCAGGAATTACCTCAATATCAGTTCATTTTCTCACAATTTCGTCCCTATCCGTGATATTGCTAATTTGCCATGGTGTAGGAAAATATTTCTCTGTGTATGTTTTTCACTGTGAATGAGAACAAATGTTGCTATTTAATACTTTTGGAGAACAGCAGTTTTGTCTTCTCCTAACTCTACGTGATTCCCCAATCAGGAAGCAGTTCAATACATGAATCCATACTTTGAAGTCGAAAGGAGCATTTATGTGCCTAAATTTAAACATGCTCTGAAATTAAAATGGGCTGTAGTCAGAAGAATGGTAATGAAAAATTCCATTAGTAGTCCCAAACACATGTGGTTTGATCTCTGCTTAAAGCATTTGGATTCCAATGTAGCATTTCAGAATGTCTTCACTGAGCTTTTCTGTTATGTGATCACTGAACACACTGAAAATCCTCGTTGTGCTATCTTAAGGCTGTAAATTGAGTATTTCAATTTCACCTTACTAGGTGTGTTTTTTTCTGTCTCAGAATCTGTTTTCTTTTGTATTCAAAATACTTCATAGTACTTCACTAATTTACAATAATTTATAATTTAATTTAAAAATGTTTTTTTGTTTGTGAAAGACCTACAGAATACAGTTTCATTTGTTTTTGTAACAGTAGCTGCCAACGTATTTTTATAAAACTTAATCATTTTTTAATAAAAATACGTTGTCCGTACGTACCTTTGACTATTTTTAAAAACACTCATGCAATTTAAAAATAGAACTGTGGTATTCACCTCAGTAATTGAACACCAGCAGGGTTGAAAATAGGTTTTTTTTTTGTGCTAAGTTACAGCCAATATTCAGATTTATTATCCAAAAGTGATTCTTTAGTCGAGGTGGAGGGGGAAAAAAGCTAAAATTAAGCTGGCTTGCTTGAATTATTTTGCACATTTTGAGGCTAATTTTAATGTCAGTGTTTCTTCATACAATTGTTATTGGATTCGTTGTCATTCACCCCCAATCCCCTTATCAGTGCTAAATGAATGATGAAGAGAATAATGACAGAATTATGGCGCTCTCTTATAACTGTGAAGTCTAAGAAGATCTGCGATATCACACATGTTTAGAGACAGACTTTGGAATGAAATGCGGAGTGGCACATACTTTGTGTTAACCGTCTCATTTTCTGTGTGTGTCACGCGTTGCCCAGGACCCAGACAACAGGGCAACATGCAGTGGATATTTGCCGGTGGAAGCAGGTCCCACAGAGCACTGCAAGTTATTGTTGTAACCTCCTTTGCA